TAAATATTTTCTAATTACATAGTGGTCCCCCTATAAATACCCCTTAAAACCCAAAAAAATCATTTGCAACTTCATTTCTAAAAAAACAATAACCCCTTCCTCTAAAACTCTCTCAAACCTCTCTTATCCGGTCGAAATCCGGCCACTGCTCCAACGACCAAGAACCGCTCAGACCACAGTCGGCCACCGCTCCGGCCACTGCCTTCAATGGCTGAAAAAACCAAACTTCCCTAAAAGCTTCCTCCCAACGTCCCAAACCATAAACCGAAACCCAAACACCCAAAAAATATCCCCACCAACGTAGATCTAAAAAAACAAAGTCTCAATTTTACCTTTTCCGACGAGCTTCTTCACCTTCCGACGACCGCTCCTCTCCTATGCCACAATCGCAACTTCTCTTTTGTTACTTTATGATTTTTCGTGGCTTTGAGAGATGTTTTTGCTCGATTTTGTTTATGTAACTTTGGTTGGTTTCGATTTGTTTGCTTGCTATACCTTGTTTCGTATTTTGCTTGTGATTCTAGTGATTTGGTTACCTTTGTTTGTTCAACGTGTTCGGCTTTTTCTTGAGATTTTTGTTGTGTTGTTTCGTGTTTGGTTGCTCTCTGTGGTCCCCATTGTGTTGTCCTACGATTGTCCCCTCGGCGAGGTATTTATAGCCTCCTACCGGGGTTGTTCTCCTTTAGCTTGGGGGCTTGTTTTACCCCCGACCTCATTTTAATCGGGATGACCAACGTTGTTGCTGAAGACCCGGGATGGTTCAGTCACGTTGGTTGTTGGCGCGTGGCCGCCACGCGCGCTGCTTGTATTCTCTTGTGTGGCGCTGGTGCTTTGTATGACTAGGGTTTTACAACCCTGTTTGTTTATGGGCTGGATCAGGCCCGTATGTTTGGACCTCTTTTGGATCGACCCGTGGACCCTTATTCAGACCTTGAAAAAAGTAAAAAAATAATAAAAATAATAAAAATAATAATATAAATAATATAATAATTTTTAAAAATCATTTTAAAATAAACTATATATTATACATTTTAAAAAAGTATTTTCAAAACTATATATTATATATTTATTTTAAAATATTTTAAAAAACTATATATTATATATACTTTCAAAAACTATATATCATATAGATTTTCAAAAATATTTTCAAAAACTATATATTATATATATTTTTAAAAATGTTTTCAAAAAACTATATATCATATATATTTTTTAATACTGTTTTCAAAAATATATAATATATATTTTCGAAAACCGATTTTTTAAAAAGTATATATTATATGTTTTCAAAAAACATTTTTAAAAATTACACTATATTAATATATATATATATATATAAAGATTTCGGACGAAAATGAGTGTCTACATTCAGCAATATTATTAAAGTGTTTTAATGAAAAATAAATTGATTAGAATATAAAAACAAGTAAAATAAAAGAACAAATTCATTCTAATATATAATATGAATTAAAATTAATTTTAAAATATTTAATATAAAATTATACAATAAAACTTTTCAAAATCCTGTATATTAATGCTTTCATATGGTTCTTAATGAAAAAAATCCTATTTCTAAAAACATGTAAATTAATATATAATAACTTTTTCCCCTTTTAAATGTTTAATTGAATCTAAATAAAGATTTACTAGGCATTAAATTAAAAATAAAGTATGCTTTGAATATTTAATCTTTAAGTCAAATGCATACTTTTATTAATTATTAATTGTAATAAATATTTATTAACTGTTAATATTAAACTTTTAATATATAGTATAATAGTATTTAATCAAACCATTGAATAAAAAGTTGAAATTACTTTTTTAACGTATAAAGTAATATAGTATTTAAACAAACTTTTACGCCCTTATCGTTATCACCTTGCTTCACTCTTTTGAAAAATTCAAACCCTAATCTCTCAACACAGATTTCAGTGGAAGAAGAAGAAGAAGAAGAAGAAGAAGAAGAAGAAACTAATACCCATAGTTTCAATGGAAACAAGAGCAGCGAAACGGAATAAGTTTTGGATTGAAAGCGAGAATGGGATCGACAGGATCAGTGATCTCCCAGATGTTGTTCTCCATCAAATCCTATTCCATCTTCCCATTAAAACCATAGCACAAACAAGCGTCTGATAAAAAAGATGGAGATCGTGTGGGTTTCGTTTCCTGGTCATGATTTCACCTCCATTAATACAATCGGAGTTTCTCCGACGAAGATGAATCCGTCGTCAAGTACGGTGAAACGATTATTAACACCGCCGCACTGTTTGTCTAATAAACGACTGGATTTCATTAGCCAGGTATTTGCTATCCGCGACAAGCATTCCGATCTAAGGATCCTTTAATTTCCCACGAAGCGTTCTCAGTAGTGAATCCTTGCGGGTCTTCAAGTTGAGATCTCGTTATCCCGGTTTCCGGTTGCCGCCTCCCTCGGTTGTGAAAGGCGGTTTCCGATCACTCCACACCTTGTCTTTGTCCCTCGTCATCTTATACAACCAGCCCTCGCTGTCGGATTTGTTCACGGACGCGTCCTTTCCTCGGCTCAAAGACATTCAATCTCGATGCATGCTTTGGGTTGAAACATCTTAAGGTTAGTTGCCTGGCCCTCGAAGATTTGACACTGGAGAAGTGTTTCCAGTTAAATAGGCTGGATGTTTCGGGTGCAAGATTGAAGAGATTGCGAGTTGCAAGCTGTTTCGATGCAAACTGTGGGGAGAGTTGGGTGAAGATTAATGCTCCAAGCTTGAGAAGTATGGTTTGGGAATATAATGCCAGCACCGAGAACAACTCGTTGGAGAATTTGACGTCGGCGCATGAGGCCTCCATTGGTTTCTTTGTAGTCGGTGATGATATCAGTGTTCCAAAGCTTCGGAGTGTGTCTAATCTCTTATCAGCTCTCTCCACACTCCACAGCCTAACGCTCGAGACCGAATGCGTTGAGGTACATTTGCATCTCAATTCATGGATTGCCCATCATGTTTAATGGACTGAATGTAAATCCCATGCATGTTAATTATAATGCATTCACAAACAACTAATAAAAATAACACGTTGAGTACATTAATGAAGAATGCTATACTCTTAAAAAAACACATGTTTAAACCTAGGAGATAATGTTGTTGAAGATAATAGAATTTTAGGTATTTTTAGTTTAAACATTAACTAAGTAAAATTTGTGTTTCTTCTAATTTTTAAATTTAAATACTTAATAGATTGTTGTTATTTTGATATAAAATTATTTTGTCTCTCATTAACATTTGATCCTAGCTTCATCCCTGCATAGAAGAGACTAAAATTATAATAAATGATATTGACTAATAAGTGGTAGATTCACAGTTTTTCGATGGTGGGCATCTCTCACTCTAAAATTTGATTTCTTTTCGATTAGCTACTTATTTTACTTACTAATAGAATCCCTTTGAAATTTATTTGTAATTTATTTGTGCTCATTTCATTAAAAATTTTGTATTATTAACATACATATGTTTATCCTAAAAAATATTTTTAGAACCACTTTTGCAACTAATAGATTAGAGTTAACCCAAATGGAGCTTATATTTAGGAATTATTATCTAGGTGGAACTTTTCACTTAGCTTTTAATATTTTTTAATTAGGTCTTAAATTTTGTTTTATTAATTTAGGATTAGTATAAGTAGTATTTATTTTTAAAAAAATGAAGTTTTAAGGTTTACTTATAATGATTGAGATATGAAAATGTTATTAACGAAAGATATGTTTAACATTATTTTTTAAAATATACTTTTCAATCTTAATTAGTTTTTAAGTCATAAACAATATTAAATAGGTAGCTTTGGAGTTCAAAGTTCATTTCAAGTTAAGATTTTAACTATTTTCCTCCTAAAAATTTGTGGAAAAAATTATTCTTTATTTATATAATTATATTTTTATCTTTTCAAGAATATTTTATATTCTTAAAAATCAAATACTCAAATTTCTATAGTAGACGGTCAAAAGCTCTTAGTTGACAGATCATCTCTCTTGTAAGTTGTGAATTCAATGCCCATTAAAAGCAAAATTTATCTTTCCTTCTCTTAAATAGAAATTGTTAAAAAAATATTCTTAAAATTAAATACTTAACTTGTCCAAAATCTCAAGACCAATAATCATTAATGTTGCGTTTATTAGTTTTAGGTCCTAATTAGCGGAACAGTTGTAGCTTATTTTCTACCCTTTTTGGATGTAATGGTATTTTGTGTGTGTTCATTTTTCAAGCATCAACTTCCTTGTTTGATTTTCAACACTCTGCATTCTAGCAGGTGTTGTCGAGCAGGAGTTATATTGCAAACGTAATGCATCCATTCAACCATCTCTAATCTGCAGACTGTCTTCAACGAACACAACGTCCTCCGTTTAGCTTATCTTTTCAAGAGCTCTCCCACGCTACACACTTTAATTCTCAAGATCCTCAATGATTACAAGATTGAGATAAGAGTATGTGCCCACAAATTGTTATCTTTTTTTTTTATGTTCTGCTTCATGTTTAATTTAATCTCATGGTTGTTCCACCTTTGTTCTTTGTTTTGTTTTCACTCTTTCAGAAATGGAACAAGGACTTGTGGGACATGCCTACCTCAGAGGAAAAACAATTCTGGGAATCCCAAGCCCAGGCTTTGAAATCCTTGCTAAACCACCTCAGTGTAGTGAAAATCCATGGCATCAGAGAATGTGAGAATGAAGTTAGCGTAGCAAAGTTCTTGCTGAAGCATGGGAAAGCCTTGCTAGAGATGACCCTTTTCTCGGGACACTGCAACTACAGAGATTCCCTACGAAGACAAAAGATTAAGTCACAAATGATGGGGTTTTCACGGGCTTCATCTAATGCAAAGATTGAATTTCTCTAAGCCTTATTTGCTTGTATTTACCAATCAAGGTTGTGCGAAACAATAGATGTTTGATGTAGATTTGCAGGATCAATGGCAACTTTTATTGCGACTTGCGCTAGTTTCTTCAGCAATTGTTGCATTACACATTTGGTATTAGTAATGAATACACACAAGGAGAAGATAATAATTGTAGACCGGAGGAAGAAACAGAGTTGCATTTGACAATAAAAGAGAAGATCATTTAACTCCTTTACCAATATTAAACTATGCATCATATTAACTATTGAGCTCTTGTTCGAGCATTTCTTCGAACAATAAGTGGGACTCTTCCATCAATCCGGGGCTTAATCTGAACATCAGCACACAGAATTCCATCTCACTGAGAGCTCCATCTCCGTCAAGATCGCCTTCCCTCACCATGCTTGCGAGCTCATCGTCTCTCAAATCTTGCAAGCCGAGCATCGCCGCGTTGCTCTTCAAGCTGGCAACGGTGATCACCCCTTTGTCCTTGTCCATCAACACCTTGAAACCATTGCACAATTCCCTCATCAGCCCGTCTCTGCCCAGCTTCTCCGCCATCGCTGGCAATAAGTCCTCGAAATCGGGTGCCGTTCTATTAATCCCTGCCATCGAGTGTTGATAACGACTATGATGTGTGTTCAAAGAAATCAATAAGTTTGTAATGTATTGAGATGCATTGGGGTTTATATAACCAAGGGAGACGATATATGAGGTAACGGAGGTCTTTTTCTCGGAAAGAGGATGGATTACGTTTTCCATGTATGACAGCAAAGGAACACGATTCTTTCGGATCAGCTGATTCATGAAAAGCTGGAAAATTAAAAAAAAACTCTGTTTCGGGGAAACTGTTGTCCGCACTATTTTCCAATGTTACTTGAGGAGGAAACTTTTGTACAGCTTTTATTGGTACCACTTTGACTTTGATCGATGCTTAAAAGATTTGAGCATAGAATTTTTATGTATTATTAACGATTAAAAAAATATTCTGAACATATATCATCTTGTAGTCACCTTATAATAAAAAAATTTATTGGATTGAAGAATGAATGGCTTCCCTGACCAAATAGGGTCTTGTGTGAAATTTCATGGGTAATTTACTAATTCAAGGCTTAGAGCTTGAGGACTTTATTGTTGAGAATAATATTCAACTTCTTTTTGGAAAGTAAACATTTGTGAATATGCCATAAAGCATTAGCAGGTAGCACATCAAGACTGCATGCATGTGAACATTTTTACTATTATTATTATTTTTTATCTGCGTCAAACAGAGGTAGCACATCAAGAATGCATGTGAATATTAGATTTAAATTGGAATAAAATAATATGAAGCTTATGGAGGAGCTCTGAACAGCTTGCCGTTCCTCTTCCATACCCAACTTTCCTTTGACCAACCTTCATTTACCTCAGCCCTTTGTTCATATTTAATTATAAATTGAGATCTAAACAATTGAAACTTTGAGATTGAAAAGTTGTATTGATTTGAACTTCGGTCGAGTTATTAAAATTATAGCAATAGAAAGTAAAGTCAACTATAAAAATGGTAGATACATGTAGCTCTTCTCATGTGTCACGCATGCATGGATGTTGCATTAATTATTGGAGAATGGCCATCTTTTTGTCCACGTGAAATGTGGTACCCGAATGAAGTGTAAACACTTTCATAACTAGATAAACCTAACTTGCTTTATAAGTGAGACGTTGCCTTTTAAGATTCAATCCAACCACTCACAATATTTAGAGGTTCAAGGAGGTGTAGCTATCACTACCTTTTTCACGAGTTTAAAACACAAGTGATCTCAGTATTAGTTTCTGCATTACTAAGCTGTAGCAGAAAGAGGTTTCATCGTCAGGTAAGCTGGCTGTTTAGGAATGGGAAGGCTTAAATTCTGGGTGCCAAGCATGTGCACAACATCGGCCATGGTGGGACGCTCACTGGGGTCTTCCTGCACGCACAAAAGCCCATGTACGCATCTTATAAACTCACTCGCATTGCAACTCGACCGTACCGTCTTGTCCGTCAAATCCAGTGCCTTGTTTTCTTGCCACAGTCTCCATCCCTGCACCAAAATATACAGAGCTGCAGTACTTGGCGATGGTATGGAGAAGGAAGTTGGTGAAAGATTAATTCATATCTACTTACATAACCATCAAGGCTTGGTGCATCTTCCACCTGATAAATTCTCTTGTTCCTTTTTCCGCTAATGATCTCAAGCATCACTACACCGAAGCTAAAAACATCGGGTTTGATTGAGAAAAGTCCTTCTATTGCGTATTCCAGCGCCATATATCCACTGCATTTAACCACACTCATTATGATTAATAAGTACAATTATTGGTAGCTCTAAACATGAATTTCTGCCTTTTACTCACTTTGTTCCTATTACTCTGTGTTTGATTCGGTTTCTTTTCCTTGGATCATCCTCGCGAGGCCGAAATCGGATATTTTCGGGTTCATCTCTGCATCCAATAGTATGTTACTAGTTTTCAAATCCCTGTAAACGATTCTCAACCTGGAATCTTGGTGAAGATAAAGCAATCCTCTAGCAATTCCCAAAATGATGTTGTAGCGTATCGACCAATCCAATTTTTGGCTTGATGATTCACCTTTACCGTAAAACGCATCATTCACCCCATAACATGCCATTATGCACATATACAATGAAGAAACAGTTGAGGTTTTAGTGGCTAATTACCAAAAAACAAAGAGTCTAAGCTTTTGTTGGGCATATATTCATAGAGTAGAATCTTTTCCTCTCCTCTTATGCAGTATCCCAATAGTCTCGCAAGATTCCGATGTTGAAGTTTTCCGATCAAAACAACCTCGGTTTTAAATTCCTCCGAGCCTTGTGCTGAAACACTTGAAAGCATCTTTACAGCAACTTCTTCACCTCCTGGAAATTTACCCTGGGATTATTTCATACCCTTTGTAAGATACTAGATATAGAACCTTCAAAGAGCAAATGAAAAGTACTCAATACCATGTAAACTGGCCCAAACCCTCCTTTTCCAAGTTTGTTTTCCTCTGAGAAATTGTTTGTTACACCTAGTTTGCTCTTGAAATCGAAGAAAGGCACGTCTATACGGCCCCATCTTTTTCGTCAAACTGACTCTAGCCTATTAACTCTTTAACCCCTCTCTCGGTGTCATAACGATGGAGAGCAACTTGTCTTTGTTTTGCTGAACTCGAAAGAAAAATACATGTTGGCGAGTGCAAAAACATTGTTTGCAAAAAAAAACATTGGTTTCTTTATCATCAAACGCTTACCTCGCCTCTTTACCGCCTTCGTTTTCCATGTGTAAACCGAAGCTACAGCACACAAAATGGTCATCCTAATTGGCAGAGATATTCCGAGGATCAAAGCGAGTGGCTTGCTTTTTTCAGAAGGCCTTACCAATTGTCCAGCTACTGCAATAATAGGGTAATTATGGTATATGTACCACAGGTTTACGCATCAAATTTAATACTAACCTTGTGTACAGTTTAATACGGAGCCATCCCAATGAAAAGTGGAACCGCAAAGGCACATGTAGACATCAATTTTTTTATTTTAAATTTAAATTTATTATTATTATTAAAATTATTATTATTATTATTATTATATATTATTTATTAAATATTACAAAGCCCAAAACTGAGGCCCAAATACAAATTCCAGGCCCAACCAGAACCGGCCCAGACCCAAATGAAAACTTGAATTGATTTGGGGTTTCAGCTAGGGCTTTTCAAACCCTAGCCCCCAGCCGCCTCCAAGATTCCAGAAGGCCAGCCGCTGCCTCTGCTCAGCCGCCACCTCCACGTTGATGCTTCGGCTGCTGCCACGCCGCCGTCAGTGCCACGTCACCCCATCGAAGCCTCCAGAAACACCTCGTCATCACCCCACGTCGAGCTCTATGGTGAGTCGCCACCATAGCTATGGTGACTCACCGAAATCATCTCTTGTGACCGGTCCGAGACAAGCTCCGACGAGGCCTATTTAGCCACTGGTTCCCTGCAAATAAAATAAAAAAATAGGGAGAAGAACGGAAGACAGAGAGCCACAACAACCAACAGAAAAAAAAAAAAAGAGGAGACTAACAGCCACGGAGCAACCAAACAGAGGGCAAGAACAGAGAACAAAAAAAAAATAGAGAAAAGGAAACAGAGAGAACACATCAACCAAACCATCAAAAGATCGAAACAAAAATTAAGAGAAGCCTTACCGAAGAAGCTGCGACGCCACCGGAGTTCATAGGCCGCCGTAGAAGCAAAATACCGAAGGTATTTTTCTTAGATCTAGGCAAATACGGGACGTTTTAAGGAAAACTAAGGTCAAAGTTGAACGTAGATCACTCGGATCTATCGTTCGGGGGGTTTTTGTTTTTCCGGCCACCAGAAGCGGTGGCCGGCAGTGAGGTTATCGGCGGCACAATGCTGCAGGCCGGTGACCGGCTTCCCTTCGATGAGGTAAGTTAGAGAGAAGCGAGAGAGTTCTCAGAAAGAGAGAGAAGAAGAAGGGAAGAAATGAGGATGCTGGCCCTTCGGGCCAGCCGTTTAGGGAAATATATATCCCTTCTCGAACGACGTCGTTTTGGGAAGGGGTATATGTGTAATTTATATATGTGGACAAACCTCGTCCGCAGTCCCTCAGATTTTTAATTTTATAATTTAGTCACTAAATCAATTTATGATCCTTTTAATCTGGTTTAATAATTTTAATTTTATTTATTTTAGTCCTTTGCATAATAATAGATATTTTAAGTAAATAATTGATTTAGTCCTCGTAACTTTATTAATTAATATTTTAAACCCCGAATAACATGTTTTAATTTCTTTTAATTTGATATACGAATTTGATATAATTTTAATCTAGTCACTAAATTAATAAAAGGGTATAATAACATATTTAGCCACTGAAATTTTAAATAATTAATTATGAATTAGGTATTTAATTCTATTAGGTTATAATTTAGTCACTAATTTCAATTTTTATTTATTTTTTACAAGTTTTATTTATTTTAAATATATAGTTTTAATTTTGTTCATTGTTTAGTTATATGTTAATTTTATATGTTTACTTTTAATTATTATTACTATTATTATTTAGTCATAAATATATATATTTATATAATAAATAATATTTATTTTATTTATTAAATCTTATTTAATTACTTTTAACTTATTTTAATCATGTTTTAATATTTATTTATTTTTCAATATTAAGAAAGGGCAGTCTTTAAACAACTGGATGTCCATTTTCTGATATTTTTAAATAAATAAATATCCTATTTTATAAATTATATATTAATTGTTTTAATTATTATTTATTTTTAATATCGAAGAAAAGAGCTGTCTTAAGGAACCTAGAAGTCATTTTCTGATATTTCTAAATAAATAAATATTTTACTTATAAATATATAAATTAATATATATTTTTCATAATTATAATTTTGAAATAATAGGATTATAAATTAAATATATTTTGAATTTTTAAATTTCTAATAATAGAGACAATTTATAATTAAAAAGTACCAATTTTGGGCGTTGTAGGGGTGTTAATCTTTCCCTAAACGTAATCGACCACGAATCCCTTTTTATTATTAAAAAGAACGAATTTTTGGTTAAAACGCAGATCAGTTTATCTTTTAATCGATGTTTCTTAAA